TATTGCCTAAAAAAAAAGTTAATATTTTGACAATTAAATTTTTATTTAAAATATATTATTTAAGTAAATTTTGAAAATAACTGTTAATATAATATATAAATCTTTTTATATAAATGTTAAGCTAGCATATATTAATATTGATTAATAGTTACTAGTTTCAATCTAAGTCTTGTTTAGATTTAATTTCCTTCTTTTTTTTACTTTTCTTTCTTAATCTTTACATTTTCCATACATTTTATAGTATCACTTAAGCCTAAATAAAAAAAAAATAAAATGACAAAAGCAAATATAATAATAAAATATAAATTATATGTATTTACTATATTGAAAAGAGTTGGATTTTTCTATTCTCTCAGGTTCTTCCTTTTCTTCCTTAATCATACTTCCTTTACAAGTTTGATAGTACAACTTAGGCCTGAGGCTAAAGAAATAGATGATATAATGAATCACAGAATTTTATGTAAAAATAACAAATAAACAATATTGAAATAAATTATTTACCATTTTGAAAATAGCTTTTTTTCTTTTTCTTTGATTCTTTCTTTTCTTAATCTTTACAAGTTTGATATTGTCACTTGTGTCAAAAAAAAAAGAATGATATAATTAATCAAAAGTTTATATAATAAATCAAATGTATTTGCCATTTTGAAAAGAAATAGGATATTCATTGAGTTCTTCCTTTTCTTCCTTAATCTGTTTTTTTTACAAGTTTGATAGTGCCACTTGAGCCTAAATAAATATAAATATATAGAATATATAAAGAATCACACACGTTCATATAAAAATATAACGGAAAGAAATATCATACTTACCTTTGTGAAAAAATAAAAGTCCATTCTTGACGCCTTTATTGACAGCCAATCGGAAACGGTTGTTTGTAACATTGTTGTCGGAAAGTTTATATGTATTGACAATGTACTTCTTAATATCTTGGCGGCTATTATAATAAATGAAACAAATATGTGAAATTTATTAGTAAGAAAGAAAAGACTTTCATATGAAAAACGGTAAAAAAACTTCATAAACTGCTTCCTCTACGGTCCTTCAAAGCGACGATAGCTTCTGAAATTAATACAATTCATAACGTAAATTAATAAAAGTTATTTATGCATTTCTTTTATTTATTTTTTCTAATCAAGAAAACCTATTTTAAAGTATTTCGTCGGTTCTCTTTTTGAAATTAACAAAAATCAAGACAAATTTCATATCTTCGTATTTCGGATGGTTTGGTACCTTTTTTGGTTTAGCGGGACTTGTGCTTTCTTTTGCCATTGTTTCTTAAGGTTTCGTTTGGGTGAAAAAGAAGAAGAGTTATTTACAAGGATACGTATAAAGAATGGGACGCGTTAAGTAATTATAAACGTGCTTACCTGAGAGATATAGTATGGCAATGTCTAAATCTGAGATTTCGGTGTTCAATAGTTTTTGCTGATGGTAAAATTTTGCAAAGTTGAAATCCATTGTTACGAAAAGGAGAGAAACTATTTTTCATTTTCCAAATAATTTGACGCGACTTTAGCAGTCACATCACATGCGATTGATCGTCATAATCATTGTGCGACGTGAACATTTACATAAATGAGTAAAAAACTAGGGGTCAAACCGTGTTCGCAAATAAATTCTGAATTCATTTTATGATGTAAATTTTGCTTAGCAACAATATTTCCGCGTTGATTGATCTATATGATTATGTGATTCTGTTTCGTCATATTCCCGCGGAGAATCTCGGAAACCCGATGGTTGAATTGCCTTCCAGTGAAATTTAGTGAGAAAATATTCTAACTTATGAATAAAAATTTGTAATATTTGATTACATGCAGGAATATCAATTGACCGGATTCAACATGATGCGATAATAATAAGTGATTCCAAGGGTGATTAATTCAATTGGATATAAGGGTAAAATGTTAGTATTTGTTTTCGATTCATAAGTACTAATCATACTTGCTATTATGTCATATTTATGGCTATACTTCAAGGACTTGTGAAGTTGCGATTAATTAGTTTATAATATTTAGGTGTATAGTCTATTTTTCCTAAAACTTTCACGCTCATATATAAGCTCCAAGGGAGTATCCGCTGATCCAATATTTTCGTGATGTGATCATACTTGCCGAGTTTCAGACCATGATGATCAATGAAGAAAAATGTTAAATGTATTGCAAATAATTATCATGCAAAATAATTATTTTTCGACATCTCAATTGACAAGAAAATTTAATGAGATAACAAACCCATCATCGATAAATGCTTCTCGGAAAAATCTTACCGGATCGGTCGTGCAACAGGTTCGTGCAATGGAATATTTCTCCTAATATTTCTCTGTAAACTGCGGAAAGGTTCGACAAAAATACAAGGTCGTGGAAAATGCTTTCAATAATTTATTGATTTTTTAATTCCGTTGATTTTATCAGATAAAAGCGAGTTATTACCGAATCGATCTATCATCAGGGCTTAATTCGCAAGTTTTCAGCAACGTGAAGGCGTCTGTGAAAATTTTCCCTAAAGTACCAATTTATATGACAAGTATAGCCAGTCATATCATTTTTATTAGATCACCTACGAAGCAGGAGAAAAATTTGGCTCTAACATCACGGACCCTAGTGAAATATGATCACTGGTAGGTTATCCTCGCGAAATCGAGCAAGAAACTTTACCAATTTTTTTTCAGCATCACAGGCTCCGTTGATTTTCAGCATGAGAATATACTTAGTGACAGGAATTCTATGATTCCTGATGAACTATGATTTCGATTCTTGGATCGTGGATGAGCCTGAAACTTTCTCAACTAGTCCATATGTGAAGTAAGCTACCTAGTTGATTCAGATCCGATGATGCGTTCATTCTTGTCATACTTGCCGGGTTCAAGATCATGGGTAGGGATATAAACTTACAAGTTGCATTAGTTAGTTTTTTTTATCCGCTTTTGCTTAAATTAAACAAAATCAAATTGAAAATTTAAATAAATTTCCTACTTATGAATAAATCAAAACAAAGGAGTATCAGAACAACTTCATCAAATTGTTAAACGACTTTCAGTTATTTTAGATATTTCAATCAAGCATCCTGGACATTTTCTGCGCTTTAATATCTAATCTTTATTAGCGTATAACTTGTATAACTTGATTTCCGAAATCATGCATTTTGCACAGTAACATGAAAAGAAATCCTTCTTGACTTTCTTATACAATCATGCCAATTTTTGAATAATGACGTTTAGTGGATGTAGTGATTAATAATCGCCTCAATTTCTTGCGGTCATGAAATATTTCCAAGGTGTATAGAATTAATATGGATCATAATAGTAAGTTCAAATCGTAGTCTTCTATTTTCTATATAGTTAATTCTTGCTTCGGAATTAGGCTTCAAGATATGCATGCAGAAAAATTAGTCTTACTGGTGGGATTTCTTTATAAAGAACTTAGCTAGACCTTAACTCATTCGGGATGGAGAAAACGATTTTTTTTTTTTTAGTATTGCGAATCTAACAGATTAGTGGTTTGTACACATTAATTTAAATGAATATACAAAAATTATTATTAAACAAAACATCAAAGCTCGGTTTATTGTGACAGCGATTTGAGGCTGAAACAGATCATAGAAGGATTAGCTTCCGGCACTTCATTAACACCTATTTCACCATCTAAAATTATAAATTCAATAACTTTATTTACTATTGTTTTTAAGTAAGATTTGTTTTTATTTAATAATTTTTGTATAAAAAACAAAGTAATTTACTTATTTTTACAAAACATCAGCGGTAACTCCATTAAAGATCATTTAGTAGCAGGAATTAATTTATGCTTAACATTTTTAGTATTTGTAATAATCAAATCCAAATCTTTGATATAGCATTAAATAAAAATAGCTTAGATATGTAATCAAGGCTCTTTTTGAACGATTGTACATATTAATATTCAATTGTAATTATACTTTCGATATGCTTATTTCAGGATTTTAATTGTGATAAATACACTCTATGACAAGATCCTCGAACGCCGGATAGTTTGCAATATTTCAATGGATGAAAATAAAATGATTATGTTAACTGTTTCTAAGAATTTTAGATTTGTGACAAAATTCAATTGTGTTTTATCCCATTTATTTGACCTTTGATTTTAACATATTTTCAATTATACCTTTTAGTCTAAGGCAAAAGTGACGTTTAGATAATGAAAGCATATTCACAGACAGAATAACTTTTCACCTGTAATTTTAAACAGAAGCAGAACAATGTAAATTTAATCTATTTTTTTTTAGTTTTATTTTATATTAACGCAGATGCAAATTCCCAAAAATTCTACGTGTTTATTGGAATATTTTTCGATGTGGCTCTTTTTGTACGATATTAAGCAACTCTCGCCGCTATTTTTGATGCTACCAATAATTTCGGTAGGATTTTACCCGAATTTGCATCTGCGTTAATATAAAAT